TCATAGAAACAATCAATTCAACCACGTACAATACATTCTAGTCCAGCTGTATTTGATATGGATTATGTTGTTGAAAGATTTCATGGACGATCACTTGCTTTAGCTCATTCACAAGAAGAAATTGAAGAATTAGATTTACGAAATAGTGATGAAAAATTTAATGATGAAAGGTAATTCAATTGTAAACAGATGAAAGCAAAATTTTGATTGGTCTATTTGGAAAAAAAACAAGGAGATTTTCAATTAAATACATTCTTATAGATAATTAATTCTTGTTTCGCAACACTCGAACATTTAATTCCCAAGAGGTAGTGTTAGTTCTATCAGTGATTTATTTTTAATCAAACATTGTTACGAATGACTGTTGAATTCTATAGCAAGCAGAGATAAAAGTGAAACTGATCGACAAAAAATTTCGACTTATTCTATCTTTAATAGCGAGAAAATTTGGCTCCATTCAGATCCATTGATCACTAGAACGGGTCTCTGAGATATACTCACTCATAAATAGTACTTCTGTACAAGTGATCTACAATCAAACAATGTCAAGATATAAAAGATCGACGACATTGAAATTATTTTTTTTTTGTTTTGAGATTTATAAGTATTATTCAACTGTGTTAACAACTAAGAATACCGCAAAAGCATCTATAAAAATCTACGAACACTGATAATTTGATCTTTTCCCAAATAATGGTGCATCAGACTGTATTTTCTCTTGAGTAGAAATACTTTCAAACCTAAAAAAGAATGACTTTTTTCGAAAATATTTGTTCTCAAGAGAAAATATTGTCGTCAGCAGCATTGTTCAAAGATCAAGATCTTCTTGAAGACTTATCTTAATCCGATGTTCATGAGCGTAACTTAGGAGTTCTATGTGTTGGTATGATCAGACCTATGTTTGCTTTTCTTTGGTAATATTCGCATAGTTTATTAATACTCAAGATTTATTGAAATGCTATGAACTCTTAGACATAACTTTCAGTCATATGTAACAGACTGTAGTCTAATCTAGCGAGAATCATACTTTAGAAGTATGATCCCTCACATCATATTACAGGTATTTCTATCTATTGCGATTTGTGATGTCGGAGAAAAAGTATTGCAAAATGATTTGTTATTTGTCATCTGTTGGTACATATTATAACAGATTAAAATTGAAAACTTTCTCATTTAAAACAGATCCAGATTTATTATATATATACTACATTTTAATATTTGAAACGATCGTTTTGTTTTCTTTTATCTAGAAAATTTTTTCGACGTGGCACATATCGTCTTCGTAAGAATCGATTGACACCAAGTATCTTACAACAAGATGAACCATTACAAGTATTAACAGAATCAACAATAAGTAAACAAAAATTAATTGAAGAAGCATCAAGAAAAGTTAAAGAAGCTGAAAGTAACGCACAAGATCTTAGTATTAATATTCAGTAAGGATTATTTGTTTTTCTTATTTATTTATTTTTTGCCATTTAAATATTTATTAGATTAAAAGAACAATTAATTAAAAGTGTATATGCATCAACTAAAGATGTCAAAGATACAAATGAACAATATGAACAACATATTAAAATGTTAGAAAAAGTGAGCAATTAAAAAAAACCAAGGAAAAATCCAAATAAAAATTTTATAATTTACTGTTTAGGAAGTAGAAAAAGCTAAACATGAATATCATGATCTACAAAAAACAATGCAGCAACTTGCAACGAAAAATACAAGTGAAAAATCTAAATCAGAAAGGTAGTAAATAATATAATCATTATTAACATTATATTATATAAATAATTTCAATATAGTGAATATCGAAAAAAATGTGATATGGCTAGAGCTCGTCTTGAATCATTACAACAAAAAGAAAAACAATATCGAGAACTCATGAATAAACTATCAGGCAATAGTGAAAAGAGGTAATCATTTTTTTCTCGTCTTAATAACTATAAGACAAAAATTCTCTGTTCTGTGCATTTTATACACGGAAATTCAATGTTTCAAATATGAGCAAGAGGATGTGCTATAGAAAGATTGAAAGAAAAAAATATCAAACATTTCAACTTACAAAACATTCTTTATTTTTGACATAAGGGGTGTGAGACAGACGTACAACATCTAACAGTATGCGCCAACACGTTTTAGGGGGAAATGTTTCGAGTTTCAGAAGGGTGTAGATGTGGATTCTAGGTTTTTCTTCATCCACATCCATTCAACGGTCAACCATTAAGAGAAGCTTCTGTTAACTCAATTTCTAAAAGCACTCGAAGGTTAGAAATTAGTTCGAATCAAACTTTCCATAAATACACAGAAAATATCAAAATTATTTAATATAAAATGCGCAATGTCAATGAACATTTTTATTTTGTATGATGTATTTAATATTTTTAAATATGAAACTTTTTGATGCATCATTAGACTCTCCAAAATGGTATTTCTCTTTCCTAAATTGTTATGATTTAATATTTGTAACAAAAGAATAACTTCAACAGTCAACTATCTAAATACATAATATTGAATGTTTCGAATCACTTTTTCATTATCAGATCTGATTTAGATCAAATAAGTCCGATTCGTAAAGGATTGTTTCAATCTTTCATCTACAAATCAAAAACCTATGAGGATTATATTTCCTCATTCGATCTACATTAATCACTTCTAGTATAGAAATTCAAAATTACTTTTTTTCATAGTAAATCTAACGAATTCATATTTGTTTTTCTCCTGTAGTGCTCGACAAGTTCAGATTTGAGGGTCTGAACTGATCTGTTCAAACAATTTGTGTTCTATTTTTAAAAAAGGAACTTCCAGATAGAACAAATCATTGTTCTGTTAATGAAACGCCGTCCCCCCTCCCCACCAAAAAAAAACAACATTTTTCGGACAGCTCAGTTCCATGAACCGAACTATTCAAACAGTTTTTCTGATTGGATCTGCTCGATGTCTATTCTCCATAATTTTGTTTTAATCAACTGATCCTGAATAGAAATCTTTCTATATTACAATTTCATCTATTTAGAATTTCTGATCTTCAAGCAACTCTCTTTCGTATGAAACAGCAATATGAAACAGCTCAAAAGCGTATACGTGAAGAAACAGAATTAAAAAATAAATTTGAACAAGATCTTTTACGTGAACAACAACGTATACAAGAATTAACAATTCAAAATGAACAACAACAAAAAGTTTTAAAATTAAAAACCGAAGGTCTTGTTGCTGCACAACGAAAATTACGTGGTGCATCTAATGGAAATATCAATGATGGAACAACAACAACAACCACGACAGCAAATTTTGAAATTGAAATGGAAAAATTAGTTGCTGAAAGAAAAGAATTAGAAGCACTAAGAGATGATACTAAAAAACGTGAAGAACTTATTCAAAAACGAGAATTATTACTTAATGAACGTACAGAACTTGAAACGAAGAAAATGCGTACAAGTCAAGTATTAAATAAGGTTTGACTTTATATTTAATTTTAAAAATTCAATAAATCAAATTAATTTATCTAGAGTTTAAAATCAGTTAATGAAAAATTAAAAAATGTCGATAAACAACAACCAAATCATCAAATGATACGTGAACAATTACTTAAACAAAAACGTTTATTTACTGAACGTTTAGAACAACAAGATAGTGTATTAACACCAACAGAAGAAAGACGTTTAATTGAAATTGATGAAGCTATTGAAGCTATTGATTTAGCTATTGATTATCAAAATAATATTATTAATAAACGAGAACGTGATGTTCAGCAATCTATTCGTGCAAGTCAGGTATAAACATATTTTAAAAATAGATAAAAATAATTGAAAATTTTATTGTATGAATGTTACTTAGTTTCAAAGATTTGTAGAAAAGATTTCTGTTTTGAACATATAAAATGATGAAAAATGTTCACGAAAGTTGATTTCGAAAAATTTAATATTAGTTAACATGTATTTGTTATAGAACGATTAAACATGATTAACTTTTTATAACTAATAATAATTTGCCATTAAAATAAAATTATTTCGAATTATGTTTCATGCTAATATATGCATTTAAAAAACAAGAAACTTGATATCATAGTTATTTTAAAAAAATGAAGAGAGTGTTGTTTATTGTGTACTGAATCCTGTTGTTCATGAATCAATGCTATTGTTTATCAAGACAATATTAAAATCCTTGCTTAATGTTTTTCCAGTGTTCAACGATTGATTACCACTCTACAAACTTCAGAGTTAGGTATTCTGCTACTAGTAAACTGCAGATACATGTTCAATACTTAAGTGTAAGATACTCAATGTCTATTACGCTAGTTACTATGAAAGCATTGAGTATTTTGGCACAGATTTTTGTTTTTGGAAAGTCGTTTTTAAACTTCAAGAGATAAAAAGCAACCAAATAGTGCGCTATACAAACACTATAAATCTCAGAACCATAGTCAATTTTTGGAAGAACGTCATCATCTCTATATTAGATTGGTACAACACTAGAAATTACTCAAGGTAAACATCGAGACAGTATGTTTAAGTATAAATGGCAGAAAATTCTTATCATGTTAAAATCTGAGGCTTAACCAAATTCAGTATCAATGAAGGAATTTTGTATCATCTTTAAATGTTCTACTGAATCTGTGTTTTTATGATATATATATATATATATATGTACTAAATATGTTTGTAATAGGGTATTCGATCCATTGTCTGTAACTTACTACTAATAGAATCAGATCTGCTCTAATATAAGAATCCACAGAATTCCATACTTCCACTTAGATAGGTTTCCTATTGTGTTCGTAAACAAAAAAAAACATCGCTGTCAATTCGAATTATTATTACGAAACTTAACTCTCAAAATTTTTGTTAAGACTATTTTTAAATATAGTTTATTAGACAAAACTGTTGTGTAAGATTATACTATATTAAACAATCAAATAACTCTATTGTTCTATACTTTTTTTTAGGGTCCCGATTCTCCTCTTTTCAAGATAGGTCAATTAAATGAAAATGAATCCAAAGAACTTTGTCGTAAATTATTTGGAAAAGTCATTGATCTAAAAGAAGCAGATAATAAAAATCGTCGTGAATTTGATGAAATAAAAGTATAAATATTTTTATAATTCTTTGTATTTTTATATTCTATTTTGTTTAGTCTCAATTACTTGAACAAACTGAAATCATAAATGAATTACAATCACGTATTCAAACATTAACACTTGATCATGATCGTCGTTTAACATCTATTCAACAAACACATGAAGAAGAAAAACAATTATTACTGGGACAATTACAAGAATCATCAAATCAAATAAAAGATGTCGAAAGAGATTTATTTTTTTATAAACATAAAACAAGAGAATTACGTAAATCTATGGCAACATCAACAACAAGTGTACTGGACACATTAACATCATCAACAATAGGAGTTACACGACGAAAAGAAGCAAATCTAAATGAAGATGATTTTCTAACACAATTACCAACACCAAGAACAGCTGTACAACAACATCAACCTGCACCATTTCTTCTTAAAACAGGTAATCGAAATAATTCAGCACATCAAATACAACAAGATGAAATTAAAAAACGATAATGCATTTCAAAATATCATAGATATAAATTTCACATAGTGAACATATTATTGAAATTCATAAGGAACAAATATGATTATATCTGCCTATTCGTCTTCTTTTTTCTTTCTCTCAATTTCACAGTGTTATCAATATTGTTGTGTTTTTTTTTATAATTTTATGTTTGTCAGTTGTGTGTGACATGCTCTGTGTTTTGTAGTTCTATGTGTGGCATTTGATGTGACTTTTCGTTTTGTAAATGTTCCACGATTTAAATAAGAAAAAACGAAGATTTATTACAAATGAATATTAATCATTCGAATAAGTGTGATATGTTAGGATAATAAGAAGAGAAAAAATCTAAAAAACTTGGATTTTCAATTTACTGTCCGTGTAATTCAGTCTTTCGAAGATAAAAAAAGAAAAGAAAAAAGATGTCTGTCACAATAATGTGAAGATATTGTAATACAATCGGCATGTGTGTACAATATATCAATGTTCACAAAATGTAACATGCCAAGACTAAATGAATCTTCTCGATTGTGATGACAATACTATTTCAGTACAGCAATTTCAGTCACATTCATAATATACTTTTATTGCTAAAATGATAGCGGCAACTTCTATGCTGTGATACGGTCTCACAAGACACCAAGTTTTCTTTCCTGAGACACAAGGTTGTCTCAGACAAAGTTTTTCAAGCACAAAGAATAGAAATCAAAAAGCATTGTTCATAACTACAATAGCAAAAGATTCTATATTTTAAACTATGCAATATAAACATGCCACAACTACAGTCGAGGATAAAAGTTGTGCAGATAGGCAAAAACTATCTATATGGGAATTGTTTGCAGTGAAGCTTCTACCACAAGTAGAACTTGATGAAGGGTGTGAGTTAGTGTGGGGTTGACTATGAAACTGGGTGTAATGTAAACTTGACAAAAACAGTGAAACCACACCTAACCCACACTCACACCCACATACATCCACATCCATA